TTCGCGGCCGCCGGACCCCGCCAGGCCAAGCGTGTGTCGGGCACCTGGACCTGGACGGAGACGGAGAGTGGGCGTCGGTGATTGAGTTGAGTATGCGGCGCCGGTAGACAAGGTAGCACTAGGCTACACACAGGTTGGATTGGATGTTGGGCCTGCAAGGTTTTTTTGTTTGCTGGGCCGTATCCAATTCAGTTCATATGTATCAGATACATACACGTATCCAGCTGTTTGTTGCTAATTAAAAAAAACATATCCAGCTGTTTCTAAAAAAAAAAGGTATCCAGCTTGATACGTATCCAAGGCCTCCGAGAAAATATTTCCTATATGATTCACGTTCAAATAATTGGACTAAGCCAAAAAATTAAAATTACATGGCAGCTCATAGTGCAAAGCTCAGCCATCTAAAACAAAATTACAACAATAAACTATATTATAAAAATTTGGGGGTAAATATGTATTTTTACTATTTATTCAATTATACATTTTGTTTGTTTTGTGAGTCGATTGGTTAGGCGGAACATCAAACCTGTAACCTAATCAGTATGCCTATTGTGGCGTTAATTAGTGTGTATGTTGCAACCGTTATCAGTATGTATGTCAGGAACGATGTATGTTACTAACCCTAATTAGTATGCACGAGTATTGGAAATATATATTTGAGAATTATAAAAAGTACCAAACTAAGGTTACGGTGGGACAAACTCCATAGCCCTAATCATTATTTATGAAGCGACCCTAATGAATACGTTTGTTGCGATCCTAATTGGGATGGGTGCTGGACCCCTAATTGATATGACAGCTACAACCCTAAGAAGAATGCGTGTTGTGACCCCTAATCAGTATGGATACTAAAACTCAGGATAACTGTTGAAAACATATAAGTAGTAAGCTGAAACTCTTGTGTACTGTTTCCAAAATATGAGAGCGTTGGTAACTGGGCCATGAAACCCCACTAAGACTGACCTAACAAAAAAACGATTTGAACCTTGTTCTACACATCCGATCAAATCAATCAAGCACTTGCCATCTACCTTTATTGTATATCGACAATAAAATTAACAATTCCATTGCATTTGAAATAGTTTTTAGAAACACGTGCGTGTCGCACGTGCATATTTGCTAGTAATACTAAAGAGGCAAAATTTCTGTCACCTATATTTTTTCGTTCAACTTAATCACCCGGACTTTATCCGCATCCGGCCAGGTTTTGTTCCTGTTTCCATCTCTATTTCTTCTTGGGCTGCTTTGTCTTTTTTTTTCCTCCTTTTTTGGCACGTAGATGTTTCGTGCATCCGGGTCTTAGCTAGGAAGGTGCCGCACCAGCTCCTGATGATGTCCGTGACTTTCCTTCCTTTTATTTGTTTTTTATTTTTTATTTTCTAATTAATTAATCTTGCTTTTATATTGTAAAAATAAGATAAATAATAATAAAATATTACAAATCTTTTAAAACGTTGACCCTTACTTAAAATAAACAAATATTTCTATTTTTATTAAGTTGTTTAATAAAAAATAAATTATTATTATAACATGAATTAGCCGACGAGCTCTAAAAAAACTAATCAAACCGTATAAACTTAAATCTTGAACACTTTCTCACCCAAACCAGTAAAAATAAATGTTTCTTTAAGCTATCCATAGATATCAGTGCAAATCTCTAAGTTGTCCTCATATAACAGGGCGACTCTCGATAAGGCTGACATTTGAAAATCGAGACATGGTAACGACTAACCCTTGCCCACCTTAACAAAATATTAAAATTATATATTTTTATGATCCTCAAAAGAAGCTACAGAACTTGACATCTAACTATTGTCATCCTTGTTCCATTAATGAGCCCGTTCGTTTGTGATTTGTTTAGAGATTACAAAGTATAATATAAACGCTCATAATGCACGCTTACTCACCGGAATGAACGTACGTATGTAAACCCTACCCCTATGAGTACCTTCGAAGACTAGGCCGACAAATCCTTGAGATGAGATTGACGAAGTCACCAACGTCTCGCTATTAACGGGAACGTCGCCTACCACGGAAAACACAATGCCGTTAAATCCTGAAATACGAGGAGTCAAACCCAGAACCGTAGGTGCTACCGAGGCTCTTATAAACAATAGGCTACAAGCCCTTCTCGTGTTCGTTTGTAATTACTGCAACAACCATCCACAATATCAAAAGTTGCACCTGTACAAATTAAACTATCGTGGCCATTACAGCTGTGTAGCAAGCTGAAGTGAAGTGAATATATAGAACATTTGATAGTTTTTTTTCTCTCGTAGCAACGCACGCTTATATTTTCTTAGTTGAAACAAGGTGTGGCTTGACATATATTTTTCTTAACATATGGTCATCCGTAGCAACGCACGGATATTTTTCCTAATATAATAATAAAGATGTAAAATTTCAGCCCATTTTTTCGTCCATCCATTTTTTTGTCCGTCTTCCTCTAACTACCGGACAATGAAAAGTTTCTTTCGTCCGGAATATATAACCCGTACTTATATGAGTTAGAATAGCTCGCGTCTAGATAGGAATCATAATGTAAATAGATCTCTTTGATGCAGAGTAATTTGAATATGAATCCTAATCCAAATAGAGTCTATTTATTACTCTCTCAGTCCTGTAATATAGCGTATTCTAGCATTCAAAATTTGTCCTCAAATATAACGTATTCTAGAAGGCAGAAACCCATTTTGCATTTAATACTTTCCATTTATCAGCCAATCATCACAAATTGTGTTGATAATAGCGTCTTATTAGGAAATAAAGTGAGGACATATGTGTCTTTCGTGTTCTCTCTTAATCTGTCTAAAAAATTTTAGAATGCATTATATTACCAGACAGAGAGAGTATTCCAATATAAGTACAGATCCTTTTCTGGCTATTTATCTGTCAGTCCATGTAGAGCCTTTCCTTTTCTCTCTGTCGAGCTCTATCGTTCTTTCTTTTCTTTCTGTTTCCTTTTTGCGTTTTCCTTTTTTTAGTTCCTTTCTATTTCTTTTTTGTGTTTTCCTATTTTTTAGCGTCGACCATTTTTTCTGAGCATCTTTTTTGTTTTTTCCTGTGTTTAGATATCATGGATTCATGGTAATCTATGGTAACCGAAATATGACATCCAAACTTGTAATAAAATAACCATATCTAATATATCACACATGCATCAATTAGATTGAAAGAGATTTTTATATCTAATAAAATTTTTCTTATCCATCAATTAAAAATTAAATAAATATATATATTATCTATTACCTCCTAAGAAGTAATATATAAATTCTAACCATCCGATCTCGTCAGCTCATAATTGTTTGAGAATACGATAACAAAGCTGGTTCACAGTTATTTTGGAGTACCACAGCAAAGCCCAATGTATATTCGATTCCATTGCAACGTATAGACACATTTGCTAGCCTTATCTTTTATAATAATAAACCACAAAAAGGTTCTTAGTTCCGTCTTATATTTATTTAATTATTTTATTGTATTCTTATTTTCTTATAATATTATAAATCGGAGTCCGTATGTTCCACGTCTCTGGGTTAATTGGCCCCGAAACCACGCCTGTCCTATGAAAACCACGATGTAACTTCCAATGTCGTCCTCTTTCGTCCGTACAGTATCACCCTACGTGCAAAATCAATCAGCCTTTTCTCTCCTGTCGAAACCGAACTCCAACTCCTGGCATGGCTTCAAAGCTGCTCTTCGTCGCTCATACGGCCTTCGAAACCAGGACGTGGCCTGGGGGAGGCAAGCGTGCAGCGACAGGGAGGAGAAGAGAGGATTTGTACTGCTGTTGTTAATAGCTTGATTATCGAGAGAAGAGAGTAGGGCCTCTTTGGTTGGCTTTTGACTTTTAAAAAAACAAAAGCATAATAGAAAGCCCAAAAGTCATACCTACTTTTGTTCAAAAGTTGTTTTCACTGCAATACAAATCCAAAAGTATCTCACCTTGCGCTTTCAGCTGCTTTTGGGACAATAATTACCCATCCGCCACCGGTTACGAAGATACCCTTTCGTTTTTTTTTTTTTGTCTTCTGTTCTATCCCTGTCCCCTGCACTCGCGACTCCGACAGCCTCCTTCGCACGTGCGTACCACCGGCGGCAGGCGCTGCTCCTGCCCCGGCTCCAGCGGTCACGGGTGCGGCCGGCCACTGAGCGGGCGAGCTCCGGCACGGGATCCGGTGGCGTCTCCGACGCGGCCCCTTCACACGGAGGCACGACCTCAAGATCAAGTTGCTTTTGATGCCAATGCTATCATCAGACAGAACAGGAGCAAGCGTTGCTTGCTTTGCTAGGCTACTCGCTGGTAAAGGATACATGAAAAGCAAGGAGACGCGAGCATCGATAAATCTCTAAGCGTCTCATTTTAATAAGAGTTACATGTACAGTAGTAAGCATCAGGCAAGGTCACGGTATGAATTGAAATATATAACGTAGTTACTGAATAAATCCGTGAGCCACAAAATCTACATGACTGCACAACAAACCCGTTGCAACGCACGGACATATTTGCTAGTACTACTTATTTGTCATGTGTTCCTAAAACAATATGCAATGTCTCTCTAATTTTGATGATCAACATGGAGATATAGCTTCTATATATATTGTGCTGAAGCAAAGATACACACACGTATATCAAATTACAGATTACAGATATCATATCAGAGCATGTCGAATGAAATATGATATGTTTCCCTTTCCGTCAGTCGTCAGAACGCCACTTCTTCATTTTCGTGGATAGCGCCTTGTAAACGCGGCCGCCGCATACGCCATCCTTCCATCCAGATTTTAACCCAGATTATATTACGTCGTCGAAGTCTCTTCCATTTGTCTCTCATCAGTCATCACGCGGCGACGGCGTCGTTCGCTGTCCTGCACGGCGGAAAACGCAGCTGACTCCTTCGCCTCGGACGCCGGCCGAGCATCATATATGTCGTAGCTTATCCAACGGGCATACTGGACGTGGCGAGCTCTAGCTGGCTTGGCCATCGCGTCGCGCGGCCATGTCGTCGTCGAAGCGGTGGACGTCCGCCTCCGGCACCGAGCTGCCGGGCCGGTTGTCGCCGCTCCCCGCCTCCGCGCTCTCGCCAGTCCGCCAGAGTGCTTGGCGCTCAGTCTCCCGATCGGAACCAGCCACAACAACATCCCCCGTCGCCGTCTCGATCGCTCGCACGCTCTGGCCATCCTCCTCCACCGGCAGCAAGAATGGCAAGAGCAAGGCCCCGCCTGCACCGCCGTCTCCCTTGTCCTCTGCGCCACCACCGCCGCCGTCCACGTCCGTGGCCACGCTCGCGGACCACCTTGTCAGAGATGACGCGCCACGGGCTCTCTCCCGACAGCGCAGCTGCACCGAGCTCCCGCGCTTCGCCGACGCGGACGCGGAGACCAGGAAGATCGGGAAGCCGTCGGGGACGAAGGGCGGCGCCGGCCACGCGTTCGGCCGCTCCATGCGCTTCCTCCCGTCCACGAGGCCTGCGGGCGTGACGCTCACGCCGGGCCGCGTCGCGCCGTCAGACCTCCGCAGGCTCGCCAACGCAGCGTCCCTGGACGACGCCGCCGACGTCGCCAGCTCCGGCTCGGAGTGCAGCGACGCCTCCAGGGGCTCCGCCACCACCACGCCGAGGACGGCCTCCACCAAGCCGCACTCTCCGTTGCTCCCGCGCACGGGCTCCGTCCGCCTGCTCGGGTCGAGCAACACGCAGTGGGCGCTCTCGCCAGGGCGGCGCAGCGGCTCGCCGCCGCTCAAGGCGATGACGGCGGTGGCCACGGTGCCGGAGAGCAAAGGCAAGAAGAGCCTGATCAGCCTCGGGTGGGGCCACATCTTCCACCGGAGGAAGCACACGGCCGAGGACGCGTCCATCGCCGCCGTCACGGCCACCTTGCTGTCCTCGCCGGTGCCGTCGCGCAGCAGCGCAGGCGGCGGGGAGGCCGGCCACCACATGAGGATGGCGCATTGCCGGCTCCTGCAGTGGCGCTTCGCCAACGCTAAGGCGGACGCCGTCCGCAAGAGGAAGATGGCCAGCGCCGAGCTGGACTTGATGGGTACATGGGCAAGGGTGTCGGAGATGAGAGGGAAGGTGGCCAGGAAGCGAGTGCAGCTTGAGAAGGAGAAGCAGAAGATTAAACTAAACACCGTGCTGTCTTTCCAGGTTCAGTTACTTACAATTTTTAAGCTTGCAATTTTGTATATAGAATTTAAAAAGACTCTGCCTTGGTATTTTTGTTTCTGATGAGATGGTGGATAAACACAAACCTGCAGATGAAAGATTTGGAGAGCTGGGGGCAGCTGCAAACCGGACATGACTCCGCCCTGGCCTCAACAGTGGACTGCACCCAGGCAGCCGTTTGCAGGCTTCCTCTCACCAATGGTGCCAAGGTATTCAGATGCATTTCAGCAATGAGTTTCTTTTCGTCTGCAATATATACATATATATGTGGTGGTGAATATTTGCCTCAAGTGTATAAGGAATATGCTTGTTCCTCCAAAAATTATTTCAACAACATGAAACATGCTCATTCGACACAGGTATCCCTAGCACCATTGGCGACTGTTCTGCACCAAGCTCTGGAGCTCACGTTGACAGCCAAGGCAATGACGAGATCACTCAGTCCGATGGTAATAACAGACTAAATATGTGAAAACAAGCTCATAATTTCACTTGTGCTGACTTGTATGGATTGTTCTCTAATTAGTGGAGCTTTATCTCTCTTTAGGCTCAGGAAACAGCGTTACTGATCTCGAAGCTGGTGCGTGTGGCAAGAGAAGAGCAGGCTATGTTGCAGGAGTGTGTCGAGCTGCTTAGGCTGGTCTCTGCACTGCAGGTAATAGCATCAATATTTTCTTTCGTTGATCAAATGCGTTGCACTTATTATGGTAGCTCCGATTCCTATGAAGTCTCATTGTTTTGATCACAACCTGCAGGTGGAGGAACAGAGCTTGCGCAGCCATCTAGTGCAGTCGGCATCGCTTAGTGCTGTGATCGTGAAGTAGTAAAGCGTTTGTACACAGGCATTTTGGTTGTATAGGACCAGCTCCAGACGTGCTCTAGACTTTTCCAGTAAAACTAGCTAGAATAGAATCATAGCCATATATGTTGGTAGGAGGGTAAGATCAAACACAATTCAGAAACAAAAGGTGTCATGTGAGCACATCGGTGCTTAAGACACTTGAACTCTTAAAATCTTCCTAAATTTACTATGCTTACAAGTTATGGTAAGACACAGTAAATAATTCAACCTGTTCGCTTGGGCTTGTTTGGCTTATAAGTCGTACTTTTTCAGCCAACGAACAATATTTTTCTCTTACACCAAATCAGCCAACAGTACTTTCAGCCATGGCTTATCATCCATAATCTTGACCATCAACACTTGTAATAATATCTACAGGTAGAAAAAGATACTCATCACATTGACATGGAAATCAGATTTAAGGTTAACTGGAATCATCATTCTCCACATCAAAATATATTTTAAACATGGTCCATGCATATGATTTGACATTGTTTTGATTGAATATATATTTCAATTTTACTGCAGCATGCATATTCAGTGTCAGAAATACATCAACAGAAATACATCAAAAAGCGAAGATGTTGCAGCAAAACCAGTGTAGATAAGTTTAAAAAAAACAGTGTACATCTCCGTCTCCATAGGCAACCTTGACTGAAGGACAACACAACCAACTTCAACATGATACTGTATGATGCTCTGATTACAATGAACATATGCATCTGGATTAACGAGCAGATGAAGTAAACGAGTTTTAGGTAACATAACTAGAAAAAAGAGCTATTGCATTCCAACTTCTGAGAATTATATGTCAAGCACATAGGCAGACTTAGTGGAGATTCAAAATACATCAAAAGCAAAGATGTTGCAGCAAAACCAGTGTAGATTAGTTTTAAAAAAAACAGTGCAGATCTCCATCTCCATCTCCATCTCCATAGGCAACCTTGACTGAAGGACAACACAACCAACTTCAACATGATACTGTGTGATGCTCTGGTTACAATGTACATATGCATCTGGATTAACGAGCAGAGAAGTAAACGAGTTTTAGGTAACATAACTAGAAAAAGGAGCTATTGCATTCCAACTTCTGAGAATTATATGTCAACCACATAGCCGGACATAGTGGAGATTCAAAGCTAGCAGATAACAAAATCAACCGTTGCGAATTGGTAGAGTTGCACAGATGCAGTCAACTAACAAAAGCACTACAAATTAAACTAGTTTAGCATCTCCTTGACACTTAGGATCCACAACTAATGAAAGTGGGAAACATCAACCTGCATTTTTCATAGCCGCTTGACAACAGAAGTCAACCCAAAAAATCATCAACTGCAGTTGCTAAGAACGAAACCAAGCATCATGGGTAAGTTGCCGAGCATGGCAACCAACTCCGCCACAACAGAGGGGCAGCTTCTGCTCAGATGCTCAAAGCCGTCGCTGGCCACGGCTGCCCTCAAATTTGCAGGAGAGCTGAGAAAATGGAAGCACACCTTCTTCAGTCCTTGGCAACAGTGTTGCTCGGCTAGCGCCAGGATGGTTGCCACATTGCCTGCATTGATATACTCACACAACTTCTTTTCACATAACAGTTTCAGCCTCTCCAAGTTGTATTTGTCCGCAGCGACCAGTAGGTGCTGAGACAAAACGTCTTCATCGTCGTCGCCTACGTCTCCCTCCACTTGTTTTATCTTCTTTGTCTTTGTCTTTTTCTCTGTCTTTGGGAATAAGTCGGTGTAAACGAAGTAGAGCAAAGCCTTGAACACCCGCGGTTCCATGTCCTCTATGTGCACCACACCTCCGGTGCCGCTCTCTCTCATCGCACCAAAAAGCTCTGCACTGAAGACAGGGGAACGGGCTGCGAGTAGCCACCGGTGTGCAGCGAACATCTCACCGGCGACGTTGAACACCACATCGGCGCCCTTCTCGGTCCGCAGGAGACTGCCGAGATGCTGGTGCAGGTCAGATGGGGGCACGGAGATCATAGCGGCCGCAGCAGTGGCTTCCGGCGCCTCCTCCACGCGGAATTCGTTGGCGACGACGACCACATCGCACCGAATGGCAAAAGAATCGTCCCGGAGATGCTTCGACGCTTCAAAATCTTCCCTTCTGATGAAATCGTGCCATCCCCAACCACGCTGGTCATCGAAGTTATGCACTCCTCCCAGTGTCAACGGCTGCTCCGCCACTTCGCCGACGAAACGGAAATCGAACTGCGCCTTCACTGGCTTGGCGACGCTGTCGTAGAGATAAAGAAAAAACGAGATGTAATCTTTGGTCTCTGACTTGTGGCCGTTGGGGGAGTAGCAAATGTGCCAGCCATGGCCACCCACGGTGAACGGGAGGGACGCCAGGTGCTCTCCTGTGGGCGTCGCCAAGGTACGGGAGTAGCCATCGATCCTGAGGATGTGGTACCCACTCGCGGTGTTGGCGACGATGGCGGAGGCGGACCGCGACGGCTCGCCGCAGCCAGCCATGGGCGAGATACTCTTCGCCGCGGCGCACGATTCACTGATTTTCTAGTAGGCCCGTTTACACAAGAGCAGCCCAGTTTATAAATTGGACCGAAAGGTGGCCCCGTCGAACAGGCTCGGCCCCTTCTCTTTACCGTCCAGCTCGGACTCTGCCTCAATATTTTTATCCCGACTAGCAAATATTCTCATGCTTTGTGTCAGAAGAAAAAACTAATAAAAATTTATTTTAAAATAACCACATAAATTGTGTATATATTTGTATTTTGTTTAAAAATAACTGGCAGCCGGGCCGCACGGTCGGCGCGATCACGTCCTTCGCGGCCGCCATCATCTGCGGCCATCTCACCGCGGTGCTCGTTCTGCCCCGCATCCCGGCACTCCGTGTGTCATCTGCCGCCCACAACGTGTCCACCGCCATGGGCGCCGGGTGCGCGCTCTCCACGGCCGCCGTCTTTTTCTGGCGTGCGTGTTCTACCTTTCCAAGGTGTACGAGCTCACCGACACCCGCTGCTCATCCTGCTCGCCCATGTGCTACGTCTGGCTTGCCACGCGCCAGTCCCTGATGCCCATGGCGCTCGTGCCTGATCAACACTGTCCTAGGTTGGCAACGGATTGGAACGCAACAAGCTAGAGAATTTCCCATACCAGATCGAAGCATCAAAATTTCCGTTCAGAAAAGGCACAAAATACTTCTAGTGCTAGGCTAGAAAAACAAAGTGACGCTAGAAAAATGATGTCCAGTCCAAAGCTTAAGCCACCGGAACCACGGAGGCAATGAGCCGTGAGATCATTGCACCGGTCGCCGCACGTTCGGCGCACTGACCGCTGACCAGCAGCCGGCCAATCTCGTAAGATACGGACGCGTCGATGCAGGCGTACTGGACCTGCTCCACAGACAGGAGCCGCGCGTCCCACTTGCTCATGGTCACCGACTTGGGCTTGTTGATGAGCACCCCCATGACCTCGCGGAGCGTCTTCAGTGACGCAGTCCGGAGCTCGGGCCAGGCGAGCACCTCCGCCGCGACAGCCCCTGAATGCCCATCGGCGTGCGCTCGTCACCAACGCCGCGGCGGCGTCCATTGGCGTGCGCTTCTTCCCGGACTCGCACGACCTCTGCGCAGGCCGCTGCGGGCACTCTCCGCCGCGCCGCTCGCGCGCAGGCCACCGCGCGCCTCGCCGCCGTTCCACTCACGCGCCGGCCGCTGCGGGCGTGAGCCAGCGTTCCGCCTCGCGCGCAGGCCGCCGCGGGCGAGTGCCGCCGTTCCGCCTAGCGAGCAGGCTGCCGGGGCGACCGCCGCGCGCTGGCCACCGCGGGCTGTCTTGTTTTGACGGAGTGCGCGGGACTTGACGTCTATACACGTTTGCTGTATTTATACATGTCTAACAGGGGGCCTATATAGGCGGAAGAAGTATAAAATGGTACGGATGAATGAGAGACAGAATTATAATGGCAGTTCTCCAAATAGGCGAATTGTAATGGCGTATTTTATCTTGCAATATTGTAATGGTATAGATAAAAAAACCCACTTTATTTTATGATGACATGACATCTTAATGTTAGTAATAATATGATAGTGCTCTATTAAGCCTTTATCGAATTAAAATACAACTTTGATAGATTTTTTCTCCTATTACAAAGTATATAATTTCGTACTCATAAATCTATAGCATAACTAGTTTTTATAGTCTAACTGTTTGATTAGTTGGATCACCAGATCCATACTTTTATCAAGGAATAAGTTTTGTTTCTAATCATAGCTACAACAATTATTTGATAGTGGGAATATTTGTTTCTTAGAAAATGGCCAACGGTTCAAAAGACCATAATATTGCATTTATTAATTATTTTTTATGTTTGAGAAAAAAAAACAGAATTAAAAAATACGAAGAAAAATAGAACAGAACTAAAAATTGATGACCAACACGGAAAAATGGAATAAAAAAGAAAACGGACACGGAAAACACATGGGGGACTAAAAAAGAAGACGGACACGGAACTGAAAAAGAAAACAGACACGAAAAAACTTATGTACGAAATAAACATAAAAAAAGAAAAGAAAATGAAAGCGAAGAAACTAAAAAGTCCTCAAGTTAGCGTATTATGGGGGATCGTCAAGCACATCTAGCAAAGATCAAGGGAGATCCCGTTCTTGCATAGCTCGGGTCAGAGCAAGGTGCCATCAGGGGTTCAACATGCAGTCTCACAATCGGGCATGAGTGTCCTGACTTCTGAAGAATAAATTGTATACTCCCTTTGGTCGGAAGGAGGCGGGGCAAGGAAGGAGACACTGGGCGGGATCTTTCAGCAGCTTAGGCAACCTAGACTGAAGGACACAAGAACCAACTTCAACGTGATACTGTATATATATGATGCTCTGACAACAATGTATACATGCATCTTGATTACTGAGCAGAGAAAAAAAACGAGTTCTAGGTAACAAGAATTATTGCAATCCAACTTCTGAGAATCATATGTCAAGCACATAGACAGACTTAGTGGAGATTCAAGGCTAGCATATAACAAATCATCCATTGCAAATTGGTGGAGTTGCACAGACGCTGTCAACTAACAAAAGCACTAACAAACTAAACTAGTTTAGGATCTCCTTGACACTTAGGATTCACAACTACTGAAAGTGGGAAACATCAACTAGCATTTTTCAAAACCGCTTGACAATAGAAGACGACCCAGAAAATCATCAACTGCAGTTGCCAAGAATGAAACCAGGCATCATGAAACTAAGTTGCCAAGCATGGCAACCAACTCCTCCATAACAGAGGGGCAACTTCTGCTTAGATGCTTAAAGCCATCGCTGGCCACAACTGCCCTCAAATTTCCAGGAGAGCTGAGAAAATGGAAGCACACCTTCTTCAGTTCATGGCAATGGTGTTGCTCGGCTAGCGCCACGATGGTTGCTACCGTGCCCACATCGATGTACTCACACAGCTTGCTTTCACATAACAATTTCAGCCTCTCCAAGTTGTATTTGTCTGCAGCCACCAGGAGGTGCTGAGACAAAACGTCTTCATCGTCGTCAATGCCTCCCTCTTCCGCTTCTTTCATCAGTAGGTGCTGAGAAAAAACGTCAATGCCTCCCTCTTCCGCTTCTTTCATCAGTAGGTGCAGAGAAAAAACACCTTCGTCGTCGTCGTCGTCGTCGTCTACGTCTCCCTCTTCCGCTTCGACGACTCCCTCTTCCACTTCTTTCGTCGTCTTTGTGATTGGGAATAAGTCGGTGTAAACGAAGTAGAGCAAAGCCTTGAACACCCGAGGTTCCATGTCCTCTATGTGCACCACACCTCCGGTGTCGCTCTCTTTCATCGCTCCAAAGAGCTCTGCACTGAAGACAGGCGAACGGGCCGCAAGCACGCACCTGTGTGCAGCGAAAGTCTCACCGGCGACGTCGAACACCACATCGGCGCCCTTCTCCGTCAGCAGGAGACTGCCGAGATGCTGGTGCAGGTCAGATGGGGGCACGGATATCCTAGCGGCCGCAGCAGTGGATTCCGGCGCCTCCTCCACGCGGAATTCGTTGGTGACGACGACCACATCGCACCGAATGGCAAAGGAATCGTCCCGGAGATGCTTCGACTGTTCCAAGTCTTCCCTTTTAAAGAGATAGTGCCCCCAACCCTTACCGAAGCTGAAGCTATGCAGTTCTCCCAGTGTCAACGGCTGCTCCGCCACGACGCCGACGAAACGGAACTTGAACTGCGCCTCCACTGGCTTGGTGACGTTGTCGTGGAGATGAAGAAAGAGCGAGATGTAATCTTTGTCGTCTGACTTGTTGCCGTTGGGGTAGTAGCGAATGTGCCAGCGATGGCCACCCACGGTGAACGGGAGGGAAGCGATATACTTTCCTGTGGGGGTCGCAAGGGTGCGGGAGTAGCCATCGATCTTGAGGATGTGGTACCCACTGGCGATGTTGGCGACGATGGTGGAGGCAGACCGCGACGGCGCGCCGCCGCCAGCCATGGAGCACATGGCAAACCTGATTATCTCTCTCCCTTTCTGACCCAGCTCCCCTCCTCCCCCCACAAATCCTGTTGAGTTCTCTCTTCGCCGCGGCCCACGATTCACTGATTTCAGCTTAGGCGCCACTGCATTTTGTAGGGTTTGGCACGAAGCGGCGGCGGGGAAAGGGGAAGACACAGGCGAAGGAGGCGATGGGTCGTCGCCGGCTCTGATATATTATAAATAAATTTGATGCGGTGTATAAGCGTATTTTTTATTTCCTGTTGGGCTCTTTTCTTCTAGGCCGATTTACATAGTTACGCAAGAGCAGCCCAGTTTGAATTATTGGGCCAAAAGATGGGCCACGTCGATCAGGCTCGCCCCGTCCTCTGTTTCGTCCAGCTCGTCTAGCTCGGAGCCTCGGACTCGGGAATCGCGATTCCAGCGGCGGCGGCGGGACTCTAGAGCCTTCCGAGTTCCTCCTGCGTCCCTTCAGCCTTCTCGTTGCGCACACCACAGGCAACTCGACCGCTCACAGAGAATCGAAACATGGAAGGAGGGGGTAGCACCACGCCCTTCTACCGCGGCAGCACCACGACCCTCGCCACCGACCCTTCTTCTGCTGCTGCTGCTGCTGCGGTATTCCTCTTCCTTCCCTTCTCTAGCCCCAGTCTCCACGCCGTGAGCTTGTTGCCTCCTCGCAAGGGGTTTGGATTCCCAACGGGTTTTCTGGAATCTAGGTCTCTGTGCTCTTTGTCTGGTCTTTAGATTAGAAAATATCGCTGTATGCCTGTATTCCTAGGGTAATCTCTTGTTGCTATGCTATATGACTCTGTGCCGTTGCTTATTCCACACCTCTTAGCTCTAGGGGATTCAAGAAACAGTGGATCAAGACATGAGCCGTTTATGTTAATAATATTAACTGCAAAAGGGGCACTACGGTTCATCTGAGTGAAATCTCGGTTCTGATTTTCTTTTATGCTTCCATTTGTAAAATTGTTTATAAACTTGTGAGAGAGAGATTCTGGCAGGGTAAGATTAAGCTTATATGTCCTCTGTGGCTTGAATTTTTTGTAACCGCGGGATTTTTTGCTGTGCTGTGTGAATTTCTAAGCACTCAACTGCCTACTACTGCATCTGATTTCAGCTGATAGTTCTGTTCACTGACCAAAAGCTGATTTTGCTAGCGAGCAGAATGGGGCACAGAAAGGGGATCGGGAGGCTGCCATCGATGCCGAGATAGCTAGGGTTAACAACCTACCAGCTCATAGTTCCTACGCGATACACCGCATGAAGGTGCTAAACAAACTTCGCCATCTGATGTCCATCAAGGTGAGCCTATCTGCTTTCTGACCGAGAGATTTTCGGTAATTCTTGCAAATGTTGTTGTAATTTCATACTTCCTTTTAACAACTCTGTGCTGGTGTTATGTGCCATTGTCCTACTAAATGTGCCCATCTCATCAGTATAGCACATAGTTCAACCTGCTGTTTCATGAATCCTAGTTTTCCAAGAGTTGAATGTTGGTAAAATGCAGTAAATGTCGTGATTAATTGTTGAGCATCAACATTACATTTACATATGTTTTCTGTAGAACTGGAAGCATCTTTGTGTTCTGTTTCTCATGAAGTTATGATCATAGTACAGTGATGAGCATCAACATTACATTTGCATATGTTTTTTGTAGAACTGGAAGCATCTTTATGTTCTGTTTCTCATGAAGTTGTGATGAGCATCAACATTACATTTGCATATGTTTTTTGTAGAACTGGAAGCATCTTTATGTTCTGTTTCTCTTGAAGTTATGATCACAGATCATAATATAAACATGAAGTCTAAGATCACAGAAGACAGAACAGTGAGACCCAGGAACGAATACAGACCTCAGAATTTTCAACCATCCTACAAATGAAAATGTCTCATGCCCAGTAGTGGTTGTTGAAATTTACTATAGTTGTGCTATTCATTTTCTTTCATGGTAATACGTCTTCATCATAGACACTTGGCCTCTACGAATATATAAAGAAACCGATTAGGATGTAACAAGGGAATGGCCAATGTTTAATAATTGTATTTTCTGTCAGCCAAGTGGCAAACTTATGATTAGAAGTGTAAGCATGGCATTTGAGTATATGCTGTCCTGATTAGCCTTGTTTATATTAGTGAGGATAGGGCTGAAATTACAGAGTGTTCCACATCAGAATATATCAGCTAAACCAGTTGGGGACGGAGGCAACTAGAAGCCTCATGTAATTTCTGTATTCTACCTAGTTCTTTCCTGTGTTATAAACTGCAAAATAGCACATCCAACGTATTAATAGATAAATTATGATGTTTTAATCACCTCGTTTGAGCATGTTCATACATCAGGTTTTTTGTGATTGTGGGCTTGTAGCCTCTGTCTATATGATAGGAATATTGCATCTACTGTGTAACCAGAGTTAGTGGTGGAAATATGGTTGATGTATCATGGCAACATGATCGAATTATTGAATTGACTAAATGTATTCCATGAGTACTGATCTTGTATTGCACCAAAAAGATTTAGTTTTAACTCACTAAATTCTAGTAGGTATAGCTCTGTACAGTGCGATAAATGTTGGATTAGACAAAAAACCAGTTGCCCTATTTGCACACATGAATAGAATATGGTTTCATTTGAGCATTATTATTGCACTCTTTAGGTTTTCCCTTTAACAAGAGCAGATTTTTTTAAACCTTCTTTGACTTGTTTCCTTAAAACTCGAAATTGCTAAAGCCATTTCCATGTTTTCGGTTTTCCATTATTATGCAACGAAACTTATAATACTTATAACCAAAAACTTAAATAGCATAGAATCTGCTTATCTAGCTCTTTGATCTGAAACATCACTTTCAACTTCTGGTGATGAGAAAGTTTTGTCCCTGTTTTTTTATTGTTTATGAAGTTTGTTTGACAATTCTCTTCTTCACTTCTTACATTCCCCAATGCAGAGGACTACATCTCAAGATGAGGAACTTGAACTTCTTTTTGCAAGCCTTTCGATCTAAAGTGTATCCTTGATAAGCCAGTATTTTAACCCTGCTAGGTAACTTGAATTTTGATAATCCGTCTTTTTCATCCCCACAGTTCTGAATGTACGGAGCTTTTTGGTTCATTGCAGACCGGGTTGCTTCTGATTTTATGCCTAATTTTGTTTCATACAGTCCAAAATTATCATCTAAGTATTTACTTGCGAATGATTGTATTTATGTGCAGGGGAGCCCACTGTTCTGACATCTCTAGTATTCTGTCGTTAGCTCCCATAACGTGCTTCCTATAGTTTTGAAGTGCAAGGAGATCCCGTTACTTCTCTGTATCATAGGTTGTTGGCAAACTTTGTGCGAGGATGTTGCGTGCTCTGCTCCCCTGAACCTGGACGATGTGGAATGGTGAAAAAACTTAGTATTGTATTGTATGCGAATGGACCGTTGTAACCATAAGTGAACTTGCTGTCACGGACAAGAATTATTAGCTAAATCTTGTATTTGGTACTCTTCTTTTTTATTAGAAAATAATTTCTGGTACAAGAACAGGTATACCCTGCAGTAAACATTGTTCGTCCTTCCTGTAATCGGACTATCTAGAGCCGAAACGAGTTGTCATGCAGCGCAAGATATCACAAATAAGAGCATCTCCTAGAGATTAGTTAAATTGTTTTCTAAAGATAAATTTGGCTATTATTAAAGGAAAAACGACTTCAACAGACTCTGTAAATGACTATCCAAATTTCTTAATCCCACCTCATTTGCTCTCTACTTTTGAATAGCTTACCTCATTAGTCACCTAGCCTTTTAGTTTTATAGAGTCTGTTGGAGTACTCTAGTATTTTTCTGTCAAATCTATTTTATAGAGTAGCTAAATCAGTAAATTTGGCAAGTCTTTTTTGCTAAATTTTGGGAGATGCTCTAAGAGTGAATGATTCATCCCCCGTGTGAAACTCAAATGCAGTATGTTTCTTACTTTGTGGGTAATTTCAAACTAAACGGCTTTTTTCGTAGTGATAATTTTAGTAGAATTTTGAGTCATTTTTTTAGACATTGTTTAGGAGGGCTCCTTCGAAGGAGCAAGAGCTATTTTGAAGAAGCCACTCTGGCTTTTTAGTCCATGAAAACGACTCTAGGCAGCTTTTATTAAACCATTTGGTAGGGCTTCTCTGGAGGAGTGGAGCCGGTGAGAAGTCATACGACGCCTTAGGTCCTGTTTGGTTGGGCTGTGGCTTTGAAAAAGCTGCTGTGACCCGTGGGCTTTTGAAAAGCTGCCGTGACTTGTGTGTTTTTGGAGAAGCTCAAAGCCCTTTGGTTGCACCATTGTAGTTTTTTGAAAAAGCAGCTGTTTGTGGGTCCCATCTGTCACCCGGCTCCACTTGTCAATCTCTTCTCTCTCCCTTGTCTTCTCCAACGCGCCCGCGCCGGAGGTCCTTTGTTCGTCGGAGCATGGCCGCGCCCTAGCCGGAGCAGGACCCGCTCGCGTGTCGTGGCTGCACCCGCGGCCATGTTTGAAAGCCCTAGTTTAGTTTTGGATAATTGATGAAACCTTGGACTAGCCTTTGATCTAAGTGTGTGAATTAGAAAAGGTGGTTCAATCCAAGTGATTGAGCAAGATGAGGTCCATGGAGATGAAGATGGACATGTGTTGATGATGATCAAGCTCAACTTCGAAAAGAAGAAAGAGAAAAATAAAAACCAAGAAGATCAAGGTAAAGGTATAAGATAGGTTTTTGTTTTGCACTCAAGACATCATAGAGGGTGTGAGTGACTTAGGATCGATAGCCGTACTATAAAGAAAGGAAATCTTTGGCTAAACGGTTTATCGAGTTCCACTAGGTGACATGACTCATGCATTGCATTTAGGAACCTAGTGTGCTAACTTTGACCCTTGTAAAATGCTTTGAAAAATACTAACACACGTGCACACAAGTTCTACACTTTGTGGTTAGTAAGTTGGAAGCAAGGGTGAAGCGATTGTGGACTTAGAAAATGTAAAAGAGGAGAAGGTCCACAATCGGACC